GCAGGCCGGCCCGGCCGCGGTACGTTGGAGCGCATGCCGGCGGCCGCGCGCCACCGGGCTTTTTAGTGTTCGGCATGTTAGTAAACTTGAAAGGCCGGGTAAGCTCACCTGCTGCTACAATGTTGCCCACAATTGAGGCTTGGATTGCCCACAACATTGCGCGCGCAGTGGCTATTTTGGTGTGTGTACAAGAAGTGCCCTCTTCCATGCATGTATGGTTAGATTGTTTGATGATTCATAGAAGTATTGATTGCTGAGGATCGACAAATTAGATTGGGTTCTGCAAAGGCTACTAGATATATGTCACTGGTTGTACTCTGACCAGACAAGGTATGAAAGAATTTGCATGTGAGCTTTCCTTGAACTAGTGATGAGCTTGAGGCAATGTTAGTGTCAGCTTTCAACGGTGGACTTATTATGCTGACGGCAAGTAAAATTGAACGGCTTCGCTTGTTCCCAAACCTAAGATCATTGCGACGGTCAAAACTATCACAGGGGATGTCTGATTAACAACACGAATAACGAATAAGCGTTCTTTGCGCTCGTCCTCCTGGCAGGAACAGCACTCCAGACGCCATATCCGTACATGCCACCTTTATAAAAAATGGTTAAATCGACGACTCGTTAATATTGTTCTCAAAACTCTTTGCAACACAAGAATCATTCTCCCGTTAGTATAGTCATAGATGCACCTCCGTCGCTCGAACTGGCCGGAATTCGTGGCTCCTCACAGGTAGTACCGGAAGAACAGCTCGTTGGGATCATACTTCTTTTGCAAATCCTGGAGCATTCTCCAGTTGGCCTTGGTGTAACACGCCTCTGCTTTTCCTTTCGCCCGGAGGTCAACCTCCGTGAGGGAGTGCCCTATTTTGACGTCCTTAACGAGGGCGGTTCCCTTGCTAACCCACGCCTGGTTAGCCTCCGCCATGCTCGCGCCCTCGAGTGCAGAAGTCGGAGCTCCGGGGAAGACGTACCTCTCATCTGCAAAAGCAGCAATACGATTTTCGAGCGTATTAGAAAATGATCAGAGCAGATTTGTCGTTTTGTGAAAACCCCTGCGACACTTATCTTTTCCAGTCAAGCTTCTCATCTTGTCGCTTGACATTTCACATTCCGGCGATATCCGGGGAAACTAACAAGCTGTATTTGTCCCGTTCCTGGAGCGGATAGAGGCACGAGAGAAGTGCTCCCTGGGATTGCCAAATGCGAACCGTTCCAACGCTCGAAAGTCTCCGGGATGGCTCGGACTCGCGAGCCCTCAAAAGGATCAGTCGGTTATCAGCTTGATAACCAAATCAACCAGATCAGGGTCCAAATCATCGACCCTATCAACGTCAAAGAAGGGGTCTGGGAAACTACTAGGTTTCGTGACTGCTTAATTGGATCCAAAGCAGTTTCAAAGAGCGTATCCCAGGACCTTACGGGAACACGAAGCAAGAGAGAGGCCCTGCGCTTCTCGTCACGCAGTAAACACACAAGACACAAGTGAATAAAACATTCTGAGTGGAATGATGGCCGAATAAAGGTAGTTACGAGGCATAAGGAAAAAGTTGTTTGTCGATGAGTAAAGACAAATTGATGGCAAGCGTCAAGTCGTTGAGTGTCCGGCCTTCTCAAATTATATAAAGTGTCCGATGAGAAACGAGGGTTCGCATAAGGGAAATGTCCAACTCACCGTTCGGTTTCCACAGTGAGTAGAAGCCGACGTAGCTGCTCCGATACGGCGGCGTCTTGAACGCGGCGTCGATAGGCGCGCCCGCATACCCGATCCCCGCTGTAATGATCATGTTCTTCGGGTTCGGCGTTTGGCGGTAAAGCTCCGCTAACGGTCCCAGCAGATCCGTTACCGAGTCCCACGATACGACCGCGTTGTCCACCGCAAAGTGGTGCTCGTCCGGCAGCTCCGCGATCATGACGTCATACATGTTCTGCCACGTGTCCTTGTACACATGGGGCGCCTTGTGGGGCGCCACCTGGCAGCTGAGGTAGGGCTCGAGGAGGGCGCGCGCGGCGGCTTCTGTGTCGGCGTATGCGGTGCAGTACATCTCGACGAGGGGGATGCCTTCCTCGCCTGCGTGCCACGTGGCAGGTTGTTAGCGCCAGGAGGACGTGGTATTCGCTCAGAACTGAAAGCGCTTGTGGAGTCCAAGACGTCAAAATTGGTTCGAATGCTCTGACACGCATTCTGAAATGGGCGCTGTAAGTGGCACGACTTCTAAATGAGAAGATATGTGAAAGCCTCTTTGTTCTGCGTCATTGCAAACTTCGCTCGCCTCTCCTTTCCAGCAACGTGCAAACTGAAAATAGACAAAAGGAGTCTTAGAAGTGTTGAATTCGAAGCAGCTTGCTGCTTGTAATGAAGCACACAAATGCGATCTGACCCAGATCCTACGACTGTAGACGGAAGCAGTTTGCCTTGGCCCGTAACGAACAACGGCAGCTGCATTTTGTCGGTCCCTCCTCACGCTCGGTTTCAAGAAGAGTCCGAAGAAATGCTGACCTCCTCCATCGCTCCAGGCCAACGCTTCTCGAACTCAACGGTTTTGTTCGTCCACGATAGAGAGGAACGTTACAAGCAAACAGAAAGAAAAGCAACAAAAAGCTGACGGTCTATCATGACGACTATCCGTACTCATCTCTTGGAGGGCCGGCCTGCATCGCCCTCAGCAAATACTTTAGCCGTTTTGTTACTTGTCTAGGTCAGACGAGAGGAAAGAAGAAACCAAAAGTGGTTAAGAAAGCTAACCTGTCATGAAGACCATTCGCTGCTCGACGTTTGGAGGGCCGGCCTGCATCGCGCTCAGCCAATGTTCTCCAACTTCAGCGGTTTTGTCGATGGGGTACAGTGTGCTGCACGAGACGATTGCGCAGTCGTCGAAGAGGCGGAACTTGAACTTGGTGACGACGAAGAAGGACCCCGCGCCCGCGCCGCGCAGAGCCCAGAAGATCTCGTCGTTCTCTTCCGGGGATGCCTGGAGAAAAGAGACGATTCGGTTGAGGGTGAGTGTGGATTCATAGAAAGAGGTTCATTGAGGGTTTTACTCAAGGTCTGAAGAACGACACAAAGCGAGATCGCTTACAACCTACAGTCTTCTTTCAGAAGTCCGCTTACGACCCCAACACAATCTCTTAACTCTGCCGTCAAAATGCTCACGCACGGCTTATGTTGACGTCAGCATCAAAGGCGCGAGCGTTTCCTACCTGGATGATGCTCCCGTCCGCAAGGACGACCTCCGCGGCCAAAACGTTCACGACGCCAAAGCCCCAGGCCCTGGCAAAAAGCAGAAGACCCGATTCTATAGATGGTAAGCCCTTTGATTACTATCGTCAAACCTGTGGACCGATGAGGTTATCTTGAGGGTTTAGAACGGGTCCGGGTGCGGAGGACGTAGACGTCTAGGTTGAGGATTTTGGTTTGTGTTTCCCGCCAGAGCGACCGTTTCATCCATCCAGCTTGTTTTGAACAAGTTTGTAACTGATTCAGGATAGAGTGTTCGGTTTTCAGGTGTCCGGCTATCTCAAAATTTGGAAATATGAGTATGTTTAGAAGCTTGCAGCAGCACATGCTGCGTTTCTGGTAGTTGAAACGGAGCCAGAACCGCTACTCCTTTCGTCCACATCCAGGGTTCGCTAACCAGCATACCGGACTCGTACCCCCATGACGTAGGCCGTCCAGGCGCTTAGAAAGATGCGCTAGTGTCGTCGCATCCGTATTCATGTCATACTCTGTCGAATTTTGTGGAACGTTTCGGAACAAGCGCAAAGCCCGAAGTTCACCCTTGACTTACTTTGCAAAGGCCATCAGGCAAAGACACGGCAGCCCTGTAGGCAGCTTACTCACGCCCATTATTTTCTGAGAAAACCTGAAATGGGGGGCACAGCGAGGCTTACCGTGCGTTCATGCCGAGCCCCCCCGCAACAGTGAAGCCGCTGACGGGGACGCAGGGGCAGTGGGGGAAGGGGAACGCGAGGCCCAGCGGAATGATGGCGTCGTGCAGCTCTTGACTGCAAACCCCGGCGTCAACCCACGCGGTTTTCTGGACAGAAGAGCGGGGAAAGATCAGGTCTAAAATTCTCTGATTTTCTAACTATTCGGTAATGACATTTTGCGTGATGACGGCGTCGTGCGGTTCTGGAATCTGGACTGCAAACCCTGGCGTCGACCCAGGCATTTACGCCAATCATGTGGGCAGAAAGAGCGGGGCAGGTTTTACTTTTATTTGTACAAGTGTGGAGGTTTGTGATATTACGCTCGCTGTGTGGTGACGTCAGCAGGATGATAGCATCCTGCTTTGACGGACAGGGACACAGGAGACGAATCGCATTCACGACTGTCACGGCAAGGACGTCAGAATATTTGCCCAGTTCGGCGAGCAGTCCACCTTCAGAAACCACGACAATCTGCTCAATGTAATCCTGAACCAGTCTTTTCATAAGAAGCACCAGAAGCAACGCTGGTTCAATAGCGGACCTGCTTTTGGCACCACTGGTTCGCCATATGAAGCACCAGAAGCAAAGTCGATTCAACTGCCAACATACAAATATGGAATTGCTCTTCTCGCCATCCGAAGCATCAGTCGCAAAACGGGTGCACTCGCATACTCACTGAAGCCGTTTCGGTTTTTGAACTCCCAGGTTTTGCGCTCAGCACCCCGTCCCGCATCAGAGATAGAGGGACGGATGCAAGAAGATTCAACCAGAGCGACCCGTCTTCAACTCACATATTTTCGGTGAGCACTACCTGATCAATCCAGCTGCACAAAGTTACGGGAATCAAAGCTAATGCCGTTGTACACTTACGGAAGCCGCGTCGACCTTGAGGCCTTTCAGCCTTCCCAGATCTAGCGCGAGCGCCCCGTCCCGCATTGAGGTGCCGCACCAAGAGTGACCCTACTTAGCATTCAACACCGCTCCCTTCGGTACAACCTTACAACCCCGAAACCTTGAAACGCAAAAGAACACCAGAGGCAAAGTGGGTGCAGAGCATACTCACAGATGTGGCGTCAACTTTGAGACCCTTCAGCCCACCCAGATCTAGCGCAAGCGCCCCGTCCCGCATTGAGGTGCCGCACCAAGAGTGACCCCCGCCCTTAATGGACACCTTCAGGCCGCACTCCTGAGCAGACTTGATGGACTCTGCGATGTCCTGGCCGGATGTGACTGACACCACCAGCCTGCACAAGGAGGGAAGCAGTGATAAACCTGAGGCATTGTGTCAAGATGTAGGGCGACGGAGCGATCTGGGCCCGATGTCGCACGAAAGACCCCCTCTTTACATTAAAACCCTCAGGCGGCATGCCTGAGCGAACCTGCGGACTCTGAAATGTCCTTGGCGGATGTGACTGACACCACCAACCTGCGCAGCAAGCGAAGCACTATCAGCTTGAGAAGCGGTGTCACGAAGTGGGGGACTGTTGCCTTGACAGCGCCAGCCTGCTGATATGTGAGGGCGGCGTCAACTTGACAGGCAGAGGCATGAAAAACGAAATAACAGCTAAGGTTTGAAGTCTCTGTTGTTTCTGGCCCTTCAAATCCGGCGACGGTTAACAAATCATCGGGTTCCATTGGGAAGGGCGCCATACATCTAAGATCAATGCTGGCACTGCGGCCTGTCAGTTCGATAAAGCTCACAAGGCTCAAAGGTTTGGGTCAGGCCAATCACGCATGCCGTCATCACTTTCCGGTGGTCAAGCTCAAAATCTACACGTGAGCAGACTCGGAAGGCACTCGAGAAGTCTCTTTCAAATACAGAGTACTTGTTGGTGGTCAAGCTCAATCTTTCAAGTAAGCCAATTGCAAGAGCCTCAAAGATCCCTTGGGGGCTTGAAGAAAAGGCTTTTCATCTCCGGAACGACGAGACAGGATCTGGAGCCCGCGGCCAACCGCTCTGCTAGGCAGAGACTCAGTGGTAGAACCTCCGAAGCTCGCTCCAACAGTCAAAGCCCCGACCGTTGTTTACAATGCTGATTGTCTGCATTGACAAGGCATCAACCACCATATGATGGGTGGCAAATCAGGACAAGCCTGCCTCACTGGCTGGCGTCAATGTCTGTAGACAACGCAAATATCACAAGGTCGAAATAGCAACTCTCGAGCATTGAGACTTTATGTTTGGGTCAGGCTTTATCATGTCCTCACCTGGGCCGCCTGTCGATCGCCCTGTTCCAGATTTGACGGGCCTGATCAAACCCCTCCTCCCCCTCTACTACCACCCGGGCCTTGGGGCTCAGACGCTCCTTGAGCTCAGAAAACGCCACAGTCGCATGCCCTGTTTGGAACGAAGGGGGTTAGAGACACAATTTGGGGTTAAGGGATGGTTAAGGGTATAGTAGGGCAGGTTAAGGGTCTGATTGGCAAAGCTACGCCAATCACATTTGACTTAGAGCGATGACACCACCACTTCCATGCTCCTTGAAGAGCACTTTGGGATAAAACGTGGATACAACGCATTATTACATCTCTATTTGCGGTAGACTTTGCACTTGGTCGTGATTCGAAGCTACCCCTATGCTTAGAAGAGAAGCTCACGGCAAAACTTCTTGAGACTGGAAGGTCGGAGAGCCCGCAGTATCTCTGTTGACATGCCTGGACGGTGTGGCATTCAGAAGGATGTTCCTCTGCAGGATCTGACCTTGACTTCTGGTGCAAGGAAACATCAAGGACCTCAAATTTCGGAACAATTCAATCTTAGCAAAACGGAGACTAAGAAGTTGAGCTTGGTCGTTCGGCATGTCTGCTCTCCCCCACTCTCCACCACTGGTGCCCTTCTTCATCAGATCTTGGCGTCAACATGATGGACAATACATGATCAGCAACACCAGTTTCCCCTTGCGGGACTATATAGATGTGAACCCACGGCAACGAGGAGCAGAAACCATCAGGGGCAAAGTTGACTTACCGTTCTCCAGCGAAAGCTTGCCCATCGCTGCCTCGTGGTGCCCGTTTGCGGCAGGAACTGAGGCGTCCATTGGCCCCGTCACTTTCCTTCAAAGATTGTCTCAAAGTGGTGGTCCAAAGTGTGATCTCCAGACTGTGCCAGTCCTTGGAAGGGCAGGCTGAAGTGCGGCGTTCAATCGACTAATGGAAATCCTATTTGAAAATCTGCAGGAGAAAGGAAAGGAAGAGGTCAGCGGCATCAAAAAAGAGCAGGATACTTAAATGTTGAGAAGGCGTCTGGAAAGTGCCGCCAGTTTCAGAAGGGGCCTAGCCTTAACGCAGAGTTGAGGCGTAACCACTATGGGGAAAAAACAGAGTGTCTTGCGGAAATTACAGGGGATTCACCGGGTCGATCGCTCATCTTTGAACTTGAACTGAAGTGACTCTCTGAAATAAGCAACTCAGACTGGGTGGCAAAATTGGGCAGACCTTGATAGATTTACCAGGGTCCCATGTCAATTGGAACTTCTGCTTTGAATTGAAACTTGTCGTGATCAGCCAAATTCAACTCTGATCCAGATGAGATGTATGAAGCATATTCTCCACAAATTCAAACACCTTCGTGAAGACTTCCCTGCTAGTCTACTCACTTTTGCGGACTCATCAGCTGCAAATCAGCAAAACCCTGGTAGTTGAAGGTATCCAGCCACAAAACTATTCACCCACAGCATTGTGAACGATGGTTTAAAATACTTGTGATTGTGAATGGCACTGCATTTTGAGCCTTTGGAGACACATTTCTGCCCCAGCTTTCTGATCAGGATCTTACAGCTTTCATGAGTATGTGGGATATAAGTTTTAAAATTCTCTGACCTAAAATTTTTCTGACAAATAATGATGTACAAAAATGAAGCACAAGTTCACACAATGCACCATCACCCTCAAAGGCTTTGTGGCACCTCATTCAACAACCAAAGAAGCCTCCCAGATTTTGGGGCCAAGACTTGCGGTACTAAGCTGCTGGAGTTATGATAAGATCAGAGGACAAACAGCGGCAGCCAACAACTCCTTTCCAATTGCCGCTGCAGAAAGATCTGGACCAAGTGCAAGGTCGCTGGCGCAAAGAAGAGCCGCTTCTCACCAAAAATGATGTGGTGAGAGGTCCTCACACGTGCGCCCTAGCGGCTTTTGCTGTGGTGTAACCACACTGCTGTTCGGATGCTGCTTGTATCCAGAAGAACCCTTCCAGCTCACTCACGCCTTCAAAATACCTGATGGACAATCTGCTCGTTTCCTTCCCGAATTTACACCTTATTGAGGGGAGCTGGGAGTCACTAAATACTACTGACAGTGCATGAGAGCAAACTGAACAGCTTGAAAATTGAAGCTTCGCCCTGACTCAGACCAGGCTCCGACTCTTCTCTCTCATCCTTCTCTCATCCTGACTCCTGACTCCTGAGGGCTCCCTGGCCCTGGCCCTGGGCCTGGGCCCGGGGGCCTTGTCTTCCGACGGCGACAGTTTGCAGGCCCTAGTACGTACTACGGCCCCTGGGCCCTACCCCTGTTCTCTTCCCATAAGCTTTGCGTTCACGGGTCTCCAATTAATGCGCGGAATCATGAATTAGAACAGAACATTGGATCGATGGTGCAGGTCCTTTGATATGTTTGCATCGGACGCATGTTGTAGTGACACGTACATAAAGATGGACATTGCCAGTAACTAGTTTGCGGGGAATCTTATACCTTGCGTACATATTGGCTTGCCTCTTTACTCTTAGTAAAGAGACTGAGAGCTATAGTATTTGGGGAACGTCGCGGTTCGGGCGACACTGTACGACGCCGATGCGGGGCCCCGAGTGACCCGAGTCTGCGCTGGATTTTCGGCTTGGCTGGCGTTCGACGGGAAACGTACAGCAAAGCCGAAACAAAGTGGCACACCCTTATGGCCACTTCGTTTCAGACTCCCTCGCGCGGCTGCGTCGAAACTGCCTCGCCGTCGAATGCGCCCGCGTAGCCGCTCGAATGAACCCAACGTAACGCTGTAACGCCCTTCGAAGTTTAATTCTCGGTGTCAGTCACTTTGGGGCCCCTAACTTGGGGCAGTCTGACCGGGTGACACAGTGTACCGGGATGATGTTTACATGCTACTACGTATGGTTGATCCATGCACGAAGGTCGGGTCTCAAATACCGGCCTAAGAGTCAGCCTGAAACCCGATAGATGAAAAACCACGGTTTGCATCGATAAGAGGCAAGCCCCCGCCGCCTCTCCGAGGCGGGCGGCCGGTCATGTTTTGCTATCTTAACGCGCTGTGCCGGCCGCGCCTCATGCGGCCGCGCCACGCTATCAAACAGCGCAAGCAGGCCGCAGCCAGGAATGCAGCTTCTGCTTCCTCGTTCTTAGTATTGTTATGCTTTCAGATCGCAAACGTGACTGAGACACTGAGAACCAATCTGACGAAAGGGGACATGACATACCTTGGGGCCCCGTACCACCCACGTACCACCAAGCCTCGTCCCGTCAAGCCTCGAAGCGCTGAGTTCGCTGGCCGATAGTGGTGCGTTGTCAGATGAACCAGGTCGGGCCGGCCAGTTGATCACTGAATCACTGGTCCGTCGTAGAATCCCGTGGGATGGATTGCACAGTGCAAATTCATGTTATGCCCGTATACTGACAGCTGGCAAACGACATTCCAACGTTCAGTAGGTTGCTAATTTACATGAACCGCGATAGAAAGCCAGCCGCCTTCGTGAAGGGGTGTCCACTAAACCCAACAGTAGCAAGATGGGAATACGACCCGAGTGCTTTTCATACTCCGACAAACATTTGCAGCCCAGTTCCAGAGAGAACTTCAGAGTCAAATTCTTAACCACTGCGTGTTGATCAGAATCTCTTACAAATGGGTCGTTACGCGAACTGAATGTGATGCCACGGTGAGCTGTCTGATCGTTAAGGCTGATCGTGTGTGCAGCTATGCGTATATATAGGCTTCTAATTGAAACACTACGCATCGAGCGCCGCTTTCAACACCGGCTGCTTCTGATTCTTTTGACTCGCTAATGCTCAAGAGATCAAGAGAGATGTCGATCTACGAGCGTTCCATAGGGTATGCCTATCTGCTCCCGCTTAAAGCACAGGCGTCTAGCAAAAACCCGTCTGATTACGACTATCTACACTCGGTTGCGCTTGCACCTTGCACTTCCTCACATGCCGTGACGCTCCTTCTCATAAGCCCTCAGAACCAACTGCACAACAAAAAGGCACTGGATATTAGAGAGACACCCCCACAGTAAAGCGGAACGCAAATCGAATTGAAAACTGAAAAAGACGCCTGTTCTTGTCGAAGCCTGAAAGCCGCCGTACCTGGTTCATTAGGAGAGGGGTCGGCGTTGATCACGGCAGCTTATAAGGGCAGAAAGTTGTGGCTCCTATTGTGAAACGGGAAGGAACGCTCGGCTTGAGATGGGCCCCATACTCTATCCCTCACCCATAACACACTTCCTGGAGCTTTCGGACACTTGAGTAATCGACTCGCCTAGTCACGATGCTCAAAACGTCAAGGGACACGCGGACATTACGTAAATGCACAATGCTGCCAGAGAACAAATGCGTCACACACCCGAACTGGTAGAAGGGCGCCGCTGCTATTGAACCCGAAGTGAGCCGTAAGCTGCTCCACCTCTGAGCGGCAAAGGACGAGATTCACCGATTGCGTCTTGCCACACGAACGAAACCCGCTGGAAAAAGAAAAGCGTGGAGTTTTTGACATAGTTCGCTTGAAAGGAGCAGATCAAAATCCCGAAATTGGTCGTACCTTGCCAAACGGCCGCTCTCTCCATGCGAGAGTTAGGTCCCGCATCTCGGCGGGGAGCCGGTCCACGGGCGGGAACTTGGGCACCTTCATCCTGCAAGGAAACCCCAGATACTCTAGTGCGTTTCACATTTCTGAGGCGATTCCTAGAATCTGTACTACGTTCTTTGCTTACAATGTGTAGTACGAAGAAGCGGAAGTAGACAGAAAGACGAGCGGAACGAGCCTCAGCCTACGCAGTAGCAAACCCAGACGGCTTGCACAGGGTTGCAGGGCTTAGTAAGCAACGAGTAATGCCAGAAAGTGCAGTGAGAGGTGATCAGAACCTACGGAGACGAGCTTCGAGACGACAAGCACGAGACGAGGAGAGCCGTGCACAACTCGGCAAGCATGGAAAAATCAAGTTCCAATCGAGAGGAGTCCTGAGAAGGTGAAAATAGACAGAAAGGACCCGCTTGAGTGTGGCCGACCCACTCGTTTAGATTATCAAATTGAAAAATCTTCGATATAGAGCAATAGTAAGCTTTAGCATTAGTAAGGCAACCAGCCTGGGACGGGTAGGGTTAGTTTGGGGGTTAGGGTGGGTGGTTCGGGTGCGGAGCGGGTGATTCTGTGGGTTAGGGTTAGTGTTAGCGCAGGAGCTTACTATTGCTAGAGCTAACTATTGCTAAATTGAAGAGACATCCCAGATTGATTGGGTCTCTTGCCGCCCACTGATACAAAGAAGCGAGGGAAACGCAAAGGAATGAGGAAGTAAGCTTCTTCAAGAGCAGAAACTTTGCCACAAAAGTCTAAACGGACAGCAGGAGACTTGCCAAATGAGATATAATCGCGTGCCGGAAAGTTCATACGCATGACGATACAGAGCCCGATGAATACAAGAAGATAGGAACGAGAAAGACGAGGCTTAGCAGCAACGGGATCCGCACACTGTAACAAGTAAGGTAAGCAGAATAGGAATCAAGAGGAAGAGGAGACAGCCAGGAGAGCCTCCTTACTCGGGCGGCATAATGGCAGGGTATGCCAAGGCCGCCAACGTCAGGTCCGCCGCAGTGAACTGGTCGCCCGTCAAGTACGGCCGACCATCCGCCAGCGTCTTGTCAACCTGGAAGGGAGAGCACGAGAGATTTGTCTTTGAACAAGAAAGAATGAAAGAAGGAGACGTTACTCCTTCTTACGGCCTTACGACTTTCAAACTCACGCGCCCTGCTGTACCCAGATTGATGATGCTCGAATCTGAACTCCGGAAGACAAGCACGAATCCTGGTGAAACGCTGACCGGTAGGAGGTTCGGAATGGCTCCGGAACACTCCGAAGTAGCTAGGAGCTTCGGAGCACATCAAAGTCCTAGCGGAAGAACGACTGAGGCAACGGAAGTCTATGGTGAGTGGTTTGGTCTGGTCTTGTCGCACGATCATTGCAATGCGCGTCAAAGAAAACAGTTCGACTGAGTGATAGAAAGTCTCTCGCCTTGAAAAGCAGTCCAATGAGCAGAATCTACCGTCCATCCAGTACTCGTTTTCTGCAATTAAAATGCTAAGATTCTGCTTGATTCAAGACTGCGGCCAGCCTTCTCAGAGAACGAAAGCACGTCTCTGCCATCGGAAGTGGACGTCCGCTTTGAAAAAGGTTCTCAGAGAATTCTAACATTCAACCGAGTCTCAGCACCATTTTCATTCAGTACCTCGGTGAATACTGCCTCCAGCCTGCTCAGGGATCGCCTGTAGCCGTCTTCCGTCAGATTGAACGCCTGTCCGTACATGGGCTTCAGCACCGGCCACGACGTCCAGAAGACGGTGCGCTCGAGCGAGGACGTGCCACCTGCCAACACCAGTAGAGACACGGGTTAGAGACGTGAGTTGAGGAAGTGGCTTCGAAGGGCGGGTTAGGAAGGGGGTTAGAGTTCTGTCCGTACATGGGCTTCAGGACGGGTCACGAAGTCCAGGAAGGTGTTCCCTCGAGCGAAGACGTGCAACCTGGTATTAAGAGTGAAGACACAGACTAGAGACGTGGTTGAAGAAGGAGCTGCGAAAGGCGGGTTGAGAAGGCGAAAAGAAGTTTACCCATACAAAATGGGTTCATATGAAAAAGACTGTGACCTCGAGGTAGGACGTGCCAATTGGGAATAGAGATGCGGGTGAGCGCGGCAAATTACAAAGCTTATTCGGCCAATCTGTGTCTGGGACTGGCAGGGGCTAGAACGATCAGAAGTCTGTGCACGAGCCCACACATTTTCCATGACAGTGAAAGTTTGTGACTTTAAAAACAAGCGGGCAAATTGCTGATTTAGCTGGGTAACGCCGTGCATGATATTGGGTTAAAAAAGGGCGCCCAATCAAGCGTGCGCTCAAGCGGGGATGAACGTCCTGGCAGCGGGTCGAAGAAATCCGTGAGTTCAAACGTCAAAACTGAACAAGCTTCGTTCTTTGAAGTAGCCACTTCGCAAGTACAACGGAACGTCCCGTGCCGAGTGTGTTTCAGCTGTGGATTTTTCAAAGCTTTTCTGAAGCTTTTTGATCCTGAGACCCGACTTTTGTTTTTCCAACGAACAGAGAAAACCGGCAACACAACCAAAGTAAAGTCATTGTGCCTAGAGGAAGAGCGAATCTCAAATGGCAGGTTCGTACTGACCGGACAGAGGGACTAAAAGAGTAATCATCCGAGCAGGCTGCTTTGGTCTGCCTTTGAAACAGAGCAGCTGACGAAGAGAGACTGGAGCCGAAGCTCCGACGTAATTTTGTCAGAGATGTTCTGGTAAGAGGCACGTAAACACTTGCTCCGATGCAACTTTGAAACAAACGAAAGCTCAGTGCAAGTTTCACCGACTTGTCTTGAGTAGACTTTGAGGCAAATGTCCATTCGTCCACGTAATAAACAATAGGAGCAGCTTCCTCAGAACGCAGGCCTCACAAACAGGATCATCACGAAACGGCTCCAGTTGGCTTGCCTTGAAAGCAGACCTCGAAGCCGCGATCGCTTCGTAGCAGGTGGTAGTATGCCCACCGCCGCACGTGCGGCCCGATCTCCTTGTCAAACTTCTCCACTGCACGGCAGCACGTGGATGACGTCAGCGGCATGACGTCAGAGAGCTCATCCCATCGGTTCTTTGTAGAGCAGAATTCTTCCACTGAATCAGAATCTCATTCACCGCTGTCAAGTCAGAATTAGCTTACATCCAGTTGCGCGATGCAACATCATTCACGCAAAAAGCAATCGAGAGGAACAGAACCAACGCACTCCACGAATCGATCTCCGCCGCCTTGTCCTCTGGATACAGCGTCCCCTTTCCAGACGCCCGGTGCTCATCCGCAAACCGGATGATGTCAGACGATTCGTTGATTAAACCGGGGTTGGAGCCCGTGGTTTCGATAACCAGCTTTGGAACCGTCCGCGGCCCGCCTGCCCACCTGTAGACGCAGTTCCAAAATTCAGAAGACTAAACTCGACTTTTAATGAAGATTGATTGAGATCGATCGGAAGCAAGAGAAGAATTAAAACCGATGGCTAGACTTTCTCAGCAAGGGCGGCATACGTCCAAGCGCTCTCAAGTTGCCTGACTGTGAAGTTTGAAGCTTGATTTGACAATAAGTAATCTGGAGATTACTTCTTGAGGAGCTCCCAGATTGCTTGAGGGAATTGGGGCTAACTTTCCTCATACAGCTCTGGCAGCAGACTGGACCCTTTCATTGAGCAGTCATTGCAGAGTAAAAGAGACTCAAGACCCTAAAAAGACCTGATCTAGTTGCACCCCTTGCTATGCTTTGCTACCCCCCCGCCGGCCCTTCTAATCACTAATCACAACTTTCAGTTTCAACTTTCAACTTTCAACGACAGCTCTGGTCGTGCTTGGCCATTCCAGAATCACAGGCTTGCAAGAGACTGCAGTTTACGGCACGCCCCCATGCATGACAACTTCTGATTCTGCACTTTTTTGCAGGGTCCCAACTTGGGAGACTGGAAGTCAATTATCTCCCGACACTATTCCCCATAACTGTGTTGCTTCCAATCGAGCGGGAGAAAGCTTGTTGCAGTCGCATCAAATGTCACAAAGACAAACAGCTCCCGTCACTATTATCATCGAAATCTGGGCTGCGCACTTACCTGGTGGCTAAGAGATGGAGAACCGCCAGATGCCCCTCCTCAGAGAAGGATACCCCCTGCTTCTCAAGGGCCCACCGCGCTTTCTCGCAGTAGTGGGAGACGGCTGCAAATCCAAGCAAATATCTTCGAGGGGGGTGCGGCAAAAAGCCACTGATGCTGATCAACGAGAAGACTTAACTTGCGACTTTTGTGAGATGTGGCATCATCGGCGTGAATCAACGAAAGAAGGGGCTCACATGGGCCTGAAGTGGGTTGTAACAGGTTTCTGTCAAAGTTCGCTTCCTCAGAAGAAGGATTCGTAAATGGTTGCACCACACTCTGATAAATGACGAACTCGATGCCATTCTCAATATATCTTTCATCTATGATCCGGCTGCACAATGGAGTCAAAGAGTAAGCGGCATTGCTGTAGTTGGCTCACTGATTGTGATCAGGCGCAGCCTGGTGCCTCCAGATAATGCTGGCGTCGTGTCAGCAGTTGCGCCGACGTCGGACATCGTGTAATCTGTGCTCTTGTGTCTACCAGTAAAGACTGCGGGTTTCTGAAGGCGACACTGCAGAATCTAATACCACACGTACCGACTCAGTGGACACTCCTGCGTTGCCGCTTTCACCGCTTCAGCATATGGCACGACCTTTTGGCCTCTTCTTTGCTTGTCAATCTGTGATTGATGAAGGATTGATGGCACTGATGAACCAGTACGCTGCGGAGCAACTTCTTCTGAAGTGCTGTACCTATATAGCATGTTTACAGAGCCCCATGAATCATGGTTCTCTCAGAAATGATACCTGTTTACCTAAAACCGTAACCTAAACCGTGGTTCACAATGGCCGCCTGCGGCCTGCCGGAGCCCAGGCCCAGCTGGCCAGGGTCTTCACCGTTCACGACTCTAATTTAGGTACCATTGCTGGTGGCACCAGCATGCAGCTGGCACACCACCTTCTGACCGAGTTTCAACAAACGGACTTGCTTGTGCCAGATGGCAGCCTTGCGTGACTGCTGTCTTGCCACGTGGCTGCTTCTGCGAGACCAGAAGGATGTTTACCCGGTACGAGGTACTGTACCTACAAGGTAGTAGGTATGTACCCCTGCAACGTCACTCAGCAGCTCAGCAATCTGCCCGGGTCCCGGATGTTCTGAGCCGGTTAGGTAGGTATGTCACGGTTGGTTCGTGAATTTGATTATCGTAATTATCGTAAAAGCCATGCAACCATGCGGCCCGGGCCGCGGGGGCTGGGGCAGACCGTCGGCCGTGTGACCTAAGATACCGGTATGCACCCGGGTGGCGGGTGGGGTTGCTATGGTGGTTTAATAGGGTTGAGTCGGGGTGCGGAGCGGGTGATTATTTGGGTTCAGTTTTTAATTTGCAATGCCCGGGTAACTCGTATCTTAGGTCACACGCCCGTTAGGTCACACGAGAGTTACCGGTATCGGTCGCGGTGCCGCCGTCGACGCGTCGATGAAGTTCGGTGTCGATCTAAACTTCTAAACAAGCAGGCGTGTCTTCGATGAATTATGGGCGACACTGGACAGGCATCGGCCAGCGCCCCGGGCGGCGAACTGTGGTTTGAGTTACGGTCGGCGGGGATGAAGTTGGATAGGGCGGCCCCCGGTGGAGTCCCCCGGCCAGTCCCTGGAAACTTGCCAAAGGACGTCATCATGACATAATCGATAATGTACGTCATGATCATCAAAGGTAGGCCGGGATCAACATTTTCCGCCCGGTTGGTGATTGGGGTCAACGCGCAAGTTGCAGCTGACCGTCTACCTACGGTAGACGGTTGGCCGGGCAAAATTGGAATCACTCGGGCGCCCCGGGCGGGTTCAAGTTGTTGACATCAATCATGGCAGAGGTATATATAGG